TGCTCTGTTGTAGCAACATGCCAATCTGCCATGAAAATTTTCTTGACTCTAGAATATGAAAAAAGCAAATTTACAAACATAACCCACTTTAGCATATTATTTGTTATCCTTTAGGATATCTAAACAAAAAATAATCTTCCATGACAGTGTACCAGGAATGAAATATGTGTATGTGTATTTACATTTTTTGTGTTTTTTTATTAACAACTCCCTCCAAAACACTCTGAGTTAAAAATAAGCATTTTTATGTCATAGGTCTAGGAAAGATAATGACATTGTTAAATCTAATTAGTGATGTTTAGCCTTTATTCCTTTTTATTTATTTTTAAATATTTTATTATTTTAATTTTATGTGCATGCGCATTTTGCCTGCATCTATGTAAGTGCACCTGTGCCCATGAAGGTCAGAAGGGGGCACTGGATTCCCCTGGAACTGGAGTTAGGAAGGTTGTTTTTGTTTTGTTTTGTTGAATATTTTATTTATTATTTTTATTTTATGTGTATGAGTATTGCCTGCATGTATGTGAGCGCACCCAGGTTGTGCAATGCCGCAGAGGTCAGAAGAGGGCTTCAGATTCCCCTGGAACAGGAGTTAAGGACGGTTCATAGCCACCATGTGGATGCTGGGAATCAAACCCGGGTCCTCTGCAAGAGCAGTCAGTGTTTTTGACCGCTGAGCCATCTCTCCAGCCCCAGGACAGTTTGGTTTTTTTTTTAAAAAAAAAAAAAAAAAAAAGCTTTTTTTTTAAGATTTATTTCTCTGGGGCTAGAGAAATGGCTCAATGGTTAAGAGCACTGGCTGCTCTTGCAGAAGACCCAGGTTTGAATCCCAGCACCCACATGGAGGCTAACAACCATCCTAACTCCAGTTCCAAGGGACGTGATGCCCCTTTGTGGCCTCGACAGACACTGCACAACACCGGTGCCCCTACATACAGGCATAATACTCATACACATGAAAGTTTTTTAAAAAGATTTTTCTTATTTTATGTGTATGAATGTGTATCTGAACGTATACCACATGCATGTCTGGTGCCAGCAAAGGCCAGAAGAGGACATCAGAACCTTTGGAACAAGACAGTTGCAATCTATCATGTGAGTGCTGGGAACCAAATTCTGGTCCTCTGTTTAAGAACAGCAAATGCTCTTAACTTTTTTTTTTTTTTTTTTTGGTGTTTTTGAGACAGGGTCTCCCTGTAGCCCCAGCTGGCCTGGAACTCACTATGTAGACCTGGCTGGCCTTGAACTCACAGAGATCCGCCTGCCTCTTCCTCTTAACTTATTTTTGAGTGCTGGATGTCAAATTCAGACCTTAGCACATACTAGGCAAGGATTCTACCACTGAGCATGTATTTTAATTTTTTATGTGTTTTGCTGCATGTATATTAAGTGCATTTGTATTGTGCAATGCCCACAGAAGCCAGGGGGTCAGATTCCCTGGAACTGGAATTACAGATGCCATGTGGGTGACAGGAACTGAACCCAGGTGCTCTATAAAAGCAGCCAGTGCTTTTAACCACTAAGCCATCTCTCCAGCCCCCAAGTTTTTTTTTTTTGTTTGGTGTTTTTTTTTTGGCCTTTTTGAGACAGGGTCTCCCTGTAGCCCCAGCTGTCCTGGAACTCATTATGTAGACCAGGCTGGCCTAGAACTCACAGAGATCCACCTGCCTCTGCCTCCCAAGTGTTGGGATTAAAGGCATGCGCCACCACGCCAGGCCCACCCTTTTTTTTTGGTCTTCAATGATCAACAAAATAAAATTTTTTCTAAAGAAATAAACAGAATGATGCCAAGTGCACTGGCTTCATGCTGGTACCAGACCAGCCAAGACTACAAGGTACATAGCAAAGCCTTGTGTGTTTCAAGTTGAAAATATAACACAAAAGGAGGTCTTTAAACTAGGTCCAAGTAATCATTTGTTTAGTTGGTTTTCTTTTCTGAGACAAGAGTCTCACTACATAATTCTGCTGGCCTGGAACTCACTATGTAGCCTAGGTTGGCCTCAAATTCACAGCAATCCTCCTGCCTCAACCTCCAGAATGCTGGATTACAAGTGTGCAACACCATGCCAAACTTTCAAGTACTTTTTCCTTTTTTCTTTCTTTTTCTTTCTTTCTTTTTGTCTTCTTGAGACAGGGTCCCCCTGTAGCCCCAGCTGGCTTAGAACTCACTATATAGACCAAGCTGGCCCTGAACTCACAGAGATCCGCCTGCCTCTGCCTCCCGAGTGCTGGGATTAAAGGCATGCACCACCATGCCCAGCTGTCAAGTATTTATTTTAAAATGTAGTTTTTATTCAAGACTACAAAATAACTAAACTTATCAGTCCAAAAAAAAAAAAAAAAAAAAAACCCTAATGAAACATGATTAGTAAGATAGCACTCCTACACAAACTAAATTTGACCTTAAGGGAAAAAAAGCACTATCTATGGTAAAACATTTTAGAATGCTTCAAAAAAACTAACTAAATAAATGTAACTATAATGCTAAAAGTTGTTACTGCCTACCCAGGACAGAAAACAGCCATTTAATACTTTTAAAATAATTTCTAACCAACAAACAAAATGAGAGCTTATAGTGGAAAATTAAGGAGGAAAAAAGAAAAAGAAAAAAAGGAGTGGAATGGGGCTGTGGGGGTGTAGCTCAGTAGTAAAGCACTGGCTTAGCCCTGGGTTCAATGCCCAGGGCTTTGAAAGAAAAGGTAACAGAATAGCAGATGTTCCAAATATTCTTTTAATAACCAAAAGATAACTAGGGGTTGGAGAGACAGCTCTCTTGAAGAGGACCAGGGTTCAGTTCCCAGCACCCACAAGGTGGCTCACATCAGTAACTCCAGTTCCAGGGGATCCAACGCCTTCTTTTGGCCTCCATGGGCACTGCACCCACCTGGCACACACATAGGCAAAGCACACACATAAAAATAAGTTATTAAAACAATTTGTGTAAAGATAACTAATTTTTTAAAAAATATTTTATTTTAGCCGGGCATGGTGGTGCACGCCTGTAGTCCCAGAACTTGGGAGGCAGAGGCAGAGGCAGGCGGATCTCTGTGAGCTCAAGGCCAGCCTGGTATACATAGTGAGTTCCAGGACAGCTGGGGCTACAGGGAGACCCTGTGTCAAAAAGACAAAAAAAAAAAATTTTATTTGGGCCAGGCATGGTGGCACAATACACATACATGTACTCATACATATACAATAATTTTTAAACTATATAGACTGTCTTCTTTTTTCAGCAGCCCATTCCACCTAAGGTCAATTTACCTAATTCTATCTTATTTCCAAACTGGACACCACAATCCATTTCCATCTTTGTGCCCTAAAACTTTCACTGTAGAAAAAAAAAAAAAAAAAAAAAAAAAAGATGCACATATTTTTCTAACAACTTTCAAGTGTGTCCAGAAGCATTTTCGTTCTGACTGGCTCACCATTCATCTACAACTCAGAAGCCTTTACTACACACTTATTCATTCACTCATTTTGCTCAGACACCCATTCTCAGAATACAAATAGCACTTCAGAGATCCAAATTCCCCACTGTTGCCTCTGTCACCCATCCCGCCTTCACAAAACTAACACACTGGACTACAGATGACCCTCTTCCTAGAGTCACCTTCCCATCCCAAGAAACCAAAGTAGCAAAACAAACAAAAAGCTAACAAGGTTTCTCAAGAGGTTCAGGAAATAACAGATCAAGTATGACAGTCTCCCAACAACCCCAACTTTATCAAGCCTGCACTCCTTTTGTACTATGAGTCAATAAATCAAAGCCCACCTATCTCCTCTTCCACCCCCTCTGGTCCAGGCAGAAAGCCCTAACCTCCAATAAAAGGGTAAATAAGAAACAAATGGGGTGGGGAGGGCAGAAATGTTTCTTTCCCTTCTATTAGGGTTTCCTATGTCCTCTTTTCAAAGAATTGACTGAGGCACCTCACCTCTCTCCTACCCTCCCATCCTTTTCTCTCCCTCCCAAGAATGTGCCAGAGACTAGCTACACCTCAGAGTACTCCCAAGCGCTCTATACAACCTTTACTTTCTTAATATAGCTATAAAACAAAAAGGGGATGGATGCCTCTGCTATCCCTTTGAAGCCTCTGAATGGTATTTCTCCAAGTGGCATTACCCAAAATAACTGAAGAGGTCAGGTCTCTTATTCTTCGGTCCCTCAACAGTCACCCTACACCTCAATTACAATTGTCCTGTCATCTTTCAACAATGTTACAAACCCCTTATTCATTCGAGTGCCCTTTTATTCTTCGAATACCTGTAACTTAAAAAAAAAAAAAATCCCTGGATGCTGCAAGTGTACCGGGCCTCAACCCCTTCACCCATTTCATACACTAGTGAAGCTTTCAACCCTTAAACATTATAAAAACCTTGAATTTTTTCCAACACCCCACAGCATCTAAAAATCACCCGGTTCTCCTACTGCTCTGAACTCCTCAATGAGACTTTAAAATCCCTTAGTATCCTTGCTCCCATGCTCATGAGCTTCCCGATGGTTTACTAAAACCCTTCAATGCCTGCACGTCGCCCTTTTCAAATCCTTTAATATTCTTACCCCTCGGAGCTCACTGCTGATTACGACTACGCCTCAAGACCCCTGCTGCCCTTCTCCGCCCCAGGATCCGAGAAGGCCCTCCATACTGAGCTCCTAGACCTTTTGGTCCTGGCTTCACACTCTTTGCAAAGTCCTCCACCGGCACTCTCCTCCAACACCTCAACATTCCCATTTAAAAATCCCTCGACAGTCATGCCACACGCCTCAGCTCTCCGCTCGCCGCCGTCTTTGAAGTTCCCTCGCCGGCCTGCTGGCCTTGCCGGCACCCCGGCAGTGGAGTGGCGAAGCCCCGGCTGCCCGCGCCCCGGCCCTGGCCCCTTCCCCCCCCCCCACAATGGGAGCGTACTCCAGCGGGCGCCAGGGACTCCCGCCTCCCCTCCCCCACGCCCCCGCGGGTCTCCAACGCCCACGCCGCCGCCCCGGCCCGGTCCGGCTCACTCACATCGGCTCCAGTAACTTGGCCAGCCAGGACTTAAGGGCATCCACATCCTCTATGAGCATGGTGCAGGGAAGGCGGGCTCGGCCGCCGCTCCTCCTCAGGCCCGCCGTGGGTCTCCGCTCGCCGCCGCCTCACGCTCCCCTCACAGCTCCGGGTGCCCTAACCCACCGGGCATCTTCCGAGACTTCAACCTACTCCCCCGGCCGGGGCCTAACAGGAACTAACCCAAGAGCCCTCACTCAACCTAGCCCGGAGGCTCCGGTGGGCGGGAGATAAGGCTGAGTGGCGAAACCTTCTCCAATAGGAGCGAGAGGGCTGTGAGCGCCGGGCCAATAGTAAGGCTCGCTCGCCCCGCCCGCCAGCCATACCCAGTGAGGGCGGAGGGACCTAGCAAGGTAGGTGGAGAGCTTCCGTGAACTCCTGGTGCAAGATGGTATCTTGGAGAAGGTGCTGTGGCTCTTAAAGGGGCCGCGGCGCCTCTTCCGACTACGCCGTCGCCCGCCTCGGAATACCCGCGTCTGCTGCTGGGAGTGCCTGGGGGAGCCCGGCGAGCCCCTCATCCTGGGTTTCTTCCTCTCGCTTTTTCCTGGAAGCACACGCGTGTCCCGAAATGACTCAGCTGTAGTAAATCTGCAACACAACGTGCTGTGCGTTCACGTTCGCCACATTGCAAAGAAGCAAGCTCTTGCTTTTTTCCCTTTACACGCTCATTTTGATCGACGCTCGTGCTTCTGTCTTTTGCCGCTAAGCTTAAATTATACAAGAGTGTTTTTGACAACCATGCCTTGCAATCCAATACTCGTCATTTTTAAACCGTGGCGCACAGATGTTAAGACTATGGCCATTTCCATTTTACTAGTAATATTAATGAATGCTTAATTTTGAAAGAAAAGTGATTCTGATAGGTTCTTGATTTTTTAAAACATCTTTACATTGCAGATCTACATTTCAATATTGTGTTTGTTTCGGGTAAAAATTTTGATCAGTAAAAATCATTTGAAAAATAATCGCAAAGAAAAATTAGAAATTGCCAAAATAGACACCTGAGTTTTTACTAGATGAGAAATTCATCTAGTAAAATAGTGTTATGAATTGGTGGCTTAGTACTGGCAGTTACAATGCTTATTCAGTAACAACTATTGAGGACTCTCCTGTCCTTCTGCACTAGAACTTTGGAGTGTGATGGTGAGCAAAGGATGGTGAGCAAAGCAGAGCGTCTCTCCTAGGGTCACTGAACATTTATGGAGTTATGCAGCATAATAATATTTTGAAAAATACAGGATGAGCACATCTCACATAAAAGAGCTGGATCAACACAAAATAAGCACGTATTCTAATTATACTGTACATAGAGAGAGTACTGACAAGCTTTCGTTGTACAGGAACAGACGACAGTAAATGTCTAAGACTTGAGGTCATTGTGGCACCTACTCAACGTGCAGTGACTTAGCATGAGCCTGGCCTTAGATGATAAATAAATGTCATGAATCAATCAATCAATAAAAATATATAAATGCTGGGTGCGGTGGCACATGCCTTTAATCCCAGCACTTGGGAGGCAGAGGCAGGCGGATCTCTATGAGCTCAAGGCCAGCCTGGTCTACATAGTGAGTTCCAGGACAGCTGGGGCTATAGGGAAACCCTGTCGCAAAAAGACAAAAAAAAAAAAAGCCAGGCATGGTAGTACATGATTTTAGTCCCATCAGGACAGCCTGACCTACATATTGAGTTCCGGGCCAGCTGTGGCTACAGGGAGACTCTGTCTTAACAAAAACTAAACACACACACACACACACACACACACACACACACACACACACTAAACAAAAACAAAACTCATCAGTTAAGAGTACTTGCTGCTCTACCACAGGACCTAGGTTCAGTTCCTAGCACCCACATCAGGTGTCTCACAACCAACTGTTACTCCAGATCTAGGGACTCCAACACCCTCTTTGGACTCCCAGAGCACGAGACATACAAGTGGTACACATACAAACATGTAAGCAAAACACTCATACATAAAAAATGAACAAATAGGTTACTGGAGAGATAGCTCAGTGGTTAAGAACACATACTGCTCTTGCAGAAGACCCAAGTTCAGTTCCCAGCATCCACATGGGGTGGCTTACAACCACCTGTAACTCCAGACCCCAGGGAGCCAAGGCCTACCTGCACACTGACACACATACACAAAAATAAATCTTTAAAACAACAAAACTGGACAGTATGATAGAAATGAAACAGGTATTACCTTTATGACAGTAAATATCTCCTTTGCAAGAATGTCAAAGTGATTTCCAAATGTATTTACAGAACAAATTTTGCAGGCCTAATTTCAGAGGTGAGAGCATTGACTGATCCAGCTCCCTGTAACAAAGGGCATCACTTGACTAACCAAAAAGGGCAGTCTTGATTATGGTGGTAAAATTTGGGTTTGGAGATCTTGAGTAATTGTTTTTCCCTTTTCTCTACTGCAATATTACATAATTACTTTTATGAATTTAGTATATTTTATACATGTATATATATGATGTATGTATAAACATTAGGACTACTACTTGGATATAGACACTGAATTCCAAACTATATCTTTTTTTTTTTTTTTTTTTGGTCTTTTTGAGACAGGGTTTCCCTGTAGCTCCAGCTGGCCTGGAACTCACTATGTAGACCAGGCTGGCCTCGAACTCACAGAGATCTGCCTGCTTCTGCCTCCCAAGTGCTGGGATTAAAGACATGCACCACCATGCCCGGCCTAAACTATATCTTGAATCAATAATATCCAAGAGTTGCTTTGGGCCAGTAAGATGTCTTAGTAGGTAAAGGCTTTTACCTCCAAGCCTGACAACCTAAGTTCAATCCCTAGGATCTACATGAAGAGAGCCAATAAGCTGTACTCTGACCTCCACAAGTGTACCATGGCATGAATGTGCCCCCTACCCATGCACCTTGTGCATTGGCGTACATAGACATGCACACACAAAATAAATAAATGTGAAAAACAAGTTGCTTTCTCAGAAGTAGAAATTTGTGTCTAGTGTAGTCAACTCCACTGCCATGCTTGGCTCACTGAATTTGTCAAATGGTTCTGATGTGTTCAGGAGCTGTGAGCCAGAATTTCCCATGGACTTTATTCAGTAACATGCATCATGTACACAAAACTGTCTTACCTGCAACCCATGAATGGATGGTGTGATGACTTCAGCCATGCAGTTATTGGGCTGCCCTGACTGCAGTATTGTGCTGGATAGCTTTAGCGTCAACTTGACACACCTGGGTTGAGGGAGCCTCAATTGGGGAATTGCCTCCATTGGACTGGCCCGTGACCATGTTTGTGGGGCATCTTCTGATTGATGAGTGATGTGGGAGGGCCCAGCCCACTGTGGGTGGTGCCACCCCTGGGCAAGTGGGCCTGTGTTGCATAAGAAAGTAGGCTGAGCAGGAGCCAGGGGAGTAAGCCAGTAAGCAGTGATCCTCCATGGCCTGTGCTCCAGCTCCTGCCTCCAGGTTCCTGCCCTGAGTTCCTACCTTGGGCTCCCTGATGAACTGTGACCCAGGAGATGTAAGATAAAATAATCCCTTTCCTCCCCAAGTTGGTATTGGTCAAAGTTATTTTGTCACAGCAATGGAGAAACAAGCTAGAACAAGTATATACATATGTGTTTTAATTCAACGTACATACATAATGAGTGCTGTTTATCATGGACCAGAGATAAATAAATATTCCAAAGTTAAATTCACTTCTTAAGACTTTGGGGGCTGAGCCAGGCATGGTGGTAAATGCTTTTAATCCCACCACTCGAGAGGCAGGGGTGGCAAGATCTCTGGGAGTTGGAGGCCAGCTTGGTCTACATAGAGAGTTCTAAGCCAGCCAGGGCTACACCGTGAGACCCTGTCTCAAAACAACAAAAAGATTTTGGAGGCTGAGAATGTAGCACAGTAATAGAGCTAGCTATGCACATAAAGCCCTGGATTCAGTCTTCATTATTAGAGAGAAAGAGAAACAGAGAGGGACAGTGGGAGAGGGAGGGGGGGAGAGAGAGAGACTTTTGAGAGCAATCCTGGTAGCTTAATAGCCACCAGAAATATTAATTGGGCACATACTCCATAGTCACCCTGTGATCAGTATTTCTGCATACTTTCACTTCTCATTCTCCCATTAGGCCTACATACACAGGCATTATTCACTGGCAAGAAGAGTGCATCCCCAAAAGTCTTGAAAATAATGACTGGAAGAATCCAGCCTGGATCGTGTGCGCCGTTTTGACTCCTAAATTCATACCTTTAACCGTCACTAAGTAATCTTGTGAGCAAACATTAAAACAGGAGCCATGTGGTGAATTCAAAATTCATTCAATAGTATGTACTGAACACACTACCATCCATTAGTCATTTTTCTTGGGTAAAAGTAAGATTGATCTTTTTTTTTAACTTTTTAAAAAAATTTTATTTGCCGGGCATGGTGCCACACGCCTTTAATCCCAGCACTTGGGAGGCAGAGGCAGGCAGATCTCTGTGAGTTCGAGGCCAGCCTGGTCTCCATAATGAATCCAGGACAGCTGGGGCTATGGGGAGACCCTGTCTCGAAAAGACCAAAAAATTTACTTATTTATTTATTTTTTATGTGTATGCATGTATTGCCTGCATGTAGGTAAGTGCACCCATGTCATGCAATGCCTGAGGAGGTCAGAAGAGGCTGTCGGATTCCCTAGGACTGGAGTTATGGACAGTTGTTAACTGCCATGTGGGTGCTGGGATTCAAACCTGGGTCTTCTGCAAGAACAACCAGTGTTCTTAAACGCTGAGCCATCTCTCCAGCCCCAGTAAAATTGATCTCAAATAAGATTTCTTTCCTTAGTTAACGTGGATACTTAATGACTGATTTTATGTTCATGTACTTTTTCTGTTGGTGGTGTTGTAAAAAGTCTCACATAACCCATGCTGGCCTTGAATTTCCTGCATACTCAAAGATGACCTTCAATTCCTGATCTTCCTGCCTCTATCTCCCAAGATTACAAGTGTGCAGTACCACATTCCATTTCTGGAGAACTGGGGATCAAGCCCAGGGCTTCATCTTTGTGCATCTAGGCAAGATTCTCCTCCTTCCCCCGCCTTTTTTTTTTTTTCCTGACCCACATTGGCTTCAAACTGACTGTGTAGCCAGGGTTTGCTTTGAACCCAAGATCCTCCTGCCTCTACTTCCTGAGTGCTAGGATTGTGGGTATGTACCATCAAGCTACCATGCCACCATACAAGAG